GTTTGACCAAGGAAAAAAGTTAACCATTTTCGAACGCAGCGTACCATGGGCTATCTGTATGCCAATTTTGAACGAAATCATTACTCGATTTTGAATCCGAATACGAATACGACGCTAGTTTTTATGGCCATCAAAAATGATACTTATATGTCTAGCAAATAACAGGGAAAAACGGACGACGGTGAAAACAGGGCGCCTGGGGTGATTTGATCAAGGTTCGTGAAATTCACACGTGACGTGTAGCATGAAGAAAGCCCACGGAGGGGGAGAAATTCCAAATGTCACGTGACTAATATGCCCTCCGGCGCCCTGTTTTCACCGGCGTCCGAAAAAACAACCAAACCGGACCCAACCTTACCTACTTAGTACTTACCTACAACCTACCAACCTACAAACCTACAACCTTACAACCTGCAACCTACAAACTTACCAACCTACAATATAAAACCTACAAATCTACAACCTGACCTAACCTACAACCTAAAGTTTCTGCTGTTTCATATACAGGGTGTCCCATAAGTTCCTTCTCACCTAAATTTTTCTTTTAGAGGCTCTCTTATTTAAAGCCACGCTTAATTTATTTTGTAACTGAGCTGTTGGGGTTGCCATGGCAACTGTGAATGTGCTCCACGGTAACTAATTCGTCTAGACAAAATATTTTTTGCCAGAGAGTTCACTTCCTGTGGAGACGGCTTACGCCGCAACATAGAGGTCTCCGATACGGGAACGTCTCGGTATTTAGTCCACACTGGGCCATTCACGACGGTTGAGGGTGATTGAGGCCATCCAGTATGTAGCCAATGTCTGTCGCTAACTGGACGCACAGTCAACAAGTGACGCCGATGATTTGTCGGGAGTCAATCGCTGCAAGTTTACGCTCTTTTTTGTCAGCTTTCACGAGTGAGCCATGTGGCCAAAACTGTGTGGCGCGAAAATGGCCGTCAAAAAGGTCTTAGCGTTAGAAAGTTGGTAAACAGGCTTTTCAGGATGCATTACCAGCTGTCTAAGAGTATCATTTCGGGGTACCTAACTCAAGGTGACTTAAGCTCTACTTACCGGAGGGCTCAAAACAGTCAAAAACGTCTTAAAATGGCCAAACATGTGTTTCGTTATGCCTGAGGCTAAAAAACTGAAGGGCCGATGGCATCAATGTGGTCATCTGGACTACCTAGTCCGTGCTCGAGATAAACCACCGGTGCAAACCCCAAATCGGTCCCATATGGGCGACGTAAAAGGCTTTTATGTCATCCCGCTTTATTCCTATGCAAAAGGCCAGAGTCACGGTAATGTGGGGTAATATGCGTCCAGACACTGATCACAATGCGATTGATACTCCAGAAACAGTCTTGGGACGCAGAATGCTTCTCCAAGAAGATCTAGTAGGAGTTTCAGCTTTCTAGCTTAACTCGAACCGCAAGTATGACCACATCTTTTTAGGAGAAAATGGCATCCGGGAGGTCGTAGGCTCATCTTCAAGCAAGACAGTGCATCAGTGCACAGGTCAAGCAAAGCTTAGAAGCAGTGCCAGGAGACTGTGATAGGCGTGTGTGGTAAGATCACATCCCAGCCAACTCATCGGATCCAAATTTCATAAAAATGTGTTGGGAATATTGAAATCGAGGCTCGTCGAAGCGAACCGGTGTTTCAGCATTGAGGAGCTCACGGCGCATGCCAAGTCAGTCTGGGCTAACTTCAAGCCTGTTATGCTGCCAAACATGCCGGTTGGCATGTCGCAGCATGTATTCATGTGTTTGCCTATGAAATGGGGAGCACATTGAGGGGTTATAAACATATCAAAACGCAATGTACTCTGTTTTACATGCAAATATAAGGTGAGAACGAACTTATGGGACACCCTGTATGTATCAACAGCGCCACAATTGTAGATCAGACCTTATCTTGACAAATACCTGATAATTTGCCAAGCAATATACTATTTGCTTTTTATTGCATTTTTTCATTGCAAGTTCAATTAACTTTCAAGGAAAAAGTCATTTGAAATTTTAATTACATATTACATATAACCCTATAACCTGACCATATAAATTACATATAACCTGACCTTACCTTATCTACCGTAAGGTACGGCCCTCCAGGTATTAAGGGTGCGTTTCACGCGACCTTTACACCACCTGGCGAGGATCTTGCCGACATAGAGATACGTTTCTAGACCAGTAGATGGCTCTAGCGCTGAACGCCGGTTTGTTGTCATAGGACAAGTATCACATTTCCCCTGTCCATCCATCTGTTAGCGCAGAGGGGTTCGACTGCCGGGCCGCCCCTCCCCATCCGCGGCCCCGCTAGTTCGGGGAGGAGTGGCACGGGTCCGCCGCGCCGGTCAGGCCGGACGGAAAGGACCAGATGTCAGGCACTCAGTCGAACTACATTGGGCCGAACCCGCGCCGACACACACGGATAGGGAAAGACCGGAATAATGAAAGGGCTAACAGAATGAGGTACAGGAAAGCAGCTTCAGTCACATTCATAGTGTTAGCTTCATTAACCTCGCTTGGGGAAGTGGGGCGTTTTTTGGTCAAACTTGCAAGTTTTCGTTTGCCCGAATAAGCGCCGCGAAACTTGGCATAGCTTACTGATCTCAGGCAGCTTTTGCCAAATTGTCAGGGAACTCAGATTTGTTTTTCAATAGAAAAACACAATTCTAAAGAATAGTGTTTTAACTATTGACAACAAACCTTCGGTTATCATGCATTAATTTCTCATCGTGTGTGAAATTGTGGAACCCCGGTCTCAAAGGTTTATTTCACCCAGTTCAAGTATATCCTAGATGTTCGAAACTCGGGTTATTGCATGAGCTATCAGCATGAGCTACACTGTATAGTGCCGGACTATCGCATCAGAAGGCACAGAAGAATATGCTTTATAAAACTTTTTTTTTGCAATTTTGTCACCTCTTCAGAGCTCAGTAGATGCCTGAGTCCTTTGAAAGTTGCAGTGCACGATGCAATAAGGCCATTGGTAGCTACAACTTGTGTGTCTCGGAATCTTATAAGTTCATCCGGACTTCAATCCCCCAAGAATTCGTTCGGGTCGGAGCTTTCGAATTTTATCACAAAACTTCGTCAGCGTGTGGTAATCGGGTTTGGGGGTATCGGTCGCAAAGTTGAGGACGTTTTGCGACCGATTTGATTCCCCGTGATGAGGTACATCGAAATAGGTACCCTTTTTATGCAAAAGTATCAACTTCGAAATTTGACCTTTTTTACCAGACCTTGACCTAACCTCCACCAGAAAGCAACCTAAATCGTCCCTCATGGTCGTCTAACTAAAACCACTTAGTTGAAAATGAAAAATTGGTCGCAAAACAGGAATCACACGGCCCTAGTTAAGTTGGATTCATGTGTTGGCCCTTGGTGACCTGACCTCTGTGACCTGACCTAGTATCAGTGACGTCTTTTAGCAACATCTGTACTAGGCAACCGACGCTTTATCGATGATTTTCGATAAGATGCCTTTTAATCAATGTTATAACGCGTTTTCTAGAAGGCCCGTGAACGGTGAAACATTTTAACTTTGACCGGACCTGTGACGTCATCAGTGACCCTGAGGTCAATGAACTTAATTTTTTCAATGCAACAGGGCTATCGAACGCCGTTTGAGTTTTGCGAATCCGTCCAATAGTTTCGAAGATACGGGGGGGGGGCAAAAATTAGCCCCCACCAGTGTGAGGCTTGAGGTTATGTGATCCGAGGTCAACCTTTGACCTCTTTCGAAGTCAGCACATATATGCTACGAGGCGAAATTACGAGAGGACTACGATGCTGTTAATTGCTATTATGCAGTTTTTGCCTAGCTTTATTACTTCAAAAGTGATACGTAAGAAACCTATCTATAGAGACGCTATTTTGACTGAAATGCAATCAATTATCACGCGCCTCGTTGGGGTCTGCCGAGCAACGCGCCCTGCTGGGGTCCTGATGGACTACTGATGGACAATAGTCCATAAGATATCGGAGGAATTGCATGGGAACTATTTCCAAGCCATAGCCCTTTAGCCCAGAAAAAAAATTGGTCCTCTCGGCATCACTTCTCATTCTGCTAGGGACTTGAAGGTGGTACGCCGCCCCGCATGAAGACTGCCCCGCATGAAGACAGGGACCCTCCCACCTTCAAAAAAGTTAATGAATTGGCATGAAAGTGATGTTGCTCTGTTCAGAAAGAGCAAAAACTAATATCTACCAAATTTCATCGAAAAATATTCACCGGTTTTCAAGATATTAGACTTTTACTTTTGTTTACTTTTTGGGATCTCCGCTGTTCCTAGCGACTTTATTTGGAAGTGCGGCATTTGTTGCGCGCAAAGCAGCATATACATACCACCGCGTGCTATCAAACGTTTTAGTAAAAGATTTAAAAATCGTTAGATCTCCGCTGACGTCACAAATTCTAGGGGGGCATTCTAATGCATTAGCCCCTTAGAATCCGAAAACGGCAAGTTTGAAATTCCATATCTCCGAATTAAAGCATTTTTCGATGTTGTGAGTGCCCAAACCGGTATTTTCAGGCCATGGCCACCAATTTGTCTATCTCAACTCAAAACTAATGTTAAGGTGGGATGGTCACTTTAAGTGGTTGGTTGCCAACATCACAATAATCGATCTGCATTGATGAATACGTCTAATGGCTGTTGAAAACCACTGCCGAAATGTGTGCACGAACCCTCTTCTCATTTTTATTGAGTCATTTTACAGGAGTGTCTCTGTCATTTCAAGTTATTACACCGAAAGCACATAGGCTAACCAACCACTCTTTTGCTGGAGGGTCGTACGTAACCACTAATCATACCTGACTCAACATGTGTTTGGATGTAAATTATAAATGTTTTGTGTAAGTCTTCTCACTTTTCAACTGTAAAAGCATATGTTTATTCTTTTCATGTTTTTGTTTTGCAAATTGTGTCAGTTTTAAAAGGGTGCAAAAAAGAGGAAAGCAGTAAGCACCCAACTGGGTCTGGTCTGACATCACAGCCCAATTTTTTTCAGTCATGGATAAGAACTGTCAAAATAAGTCCAGCATCAGAAAGCAGCTCAACACTGAAGATGATTTAAGGAGTTGTGTGCAGATCGACCATGAGGAGCCAGCATCATCTAGCGACAGCACTGCAGAGGATAGTGTGCATACCGATGGGGCCAACAAGCTGGCCATGGCGGCTGACTTTGGTGGCGCCGACGCCAGCCGTCCGGCCGGTGCTGGGAGGGAGGGAGCAGACGTCTCGTCTGCGGGCGGAGACAGCTGTGCTGGGGGTGATCCTGAGGGCGCCCGGTCTGAGCCGTCAGGGCATGTGAGCGGCCCGGCGGCCCGGCAGGACACCGGACAGCCGTCTGCGCGCTGCTCGGACTGCGCGGAGGAGCCGGCAGCGGGCAGTGAGCGCCGGGCCGCGCCGTCAGACAGCGCTACCGGCAGCCAGAGGGGAGGCGCCGACAGCAGCAGCCAGCCCGCCGACCGGCTCACCGCCCAGGCCCGGCTGCAGGAGGCCATCGACAAGGTCGAACAGCTCGATCGCAGTCTGGAAAAGAAGCTGAAGGAAAACCTGGTGAGATTTAGTGACGCTCTGCATGCACAACTCCCGAACCCAACCTTACCCACACATTGTTCAATGCTGACTGACGCAGCACCAGACTATCATGTGGAATCTTGAACAGTTTTTTTTTCTCCTGTGATAGGTGAAGTTAGCTCACTGCAAGTATTTGACCAGTGAACTTAGCTGTCCTTTTTGCTTCACTGCATGCGTTGGCCAGAGCTGTTTAAGTGTTCATGGTGTGCTTTATATGTGAACTGGTAAACTGGCGCAGCTGCAGCTGGTGCCGAGTCCGGCGAGTGGCGCACCCTCACTGTGCCCCGCCGCGCCCGGTCAGGAGGCCAAGGCTGTGACGGCCGACCTGCGCGCTCTGGTGCGTCGCGAGCTGGCGGAACTGGACGGCCGCCGCGCCGGCCGGCAGGCCAGCCGTGAGGAGGCCGACAACACGCTGCAGTTTCTGCGCGTCCTCGTCGACAACGGTGAGACGTTACTGCCGTCGCCGGCCCGCGGGGTGTAGCTGTCACTGCGGCGGCCGGCCCGCGGGCTGCAGTTTCTTTCCGAGTGCACAAACTAATCGAATGGACGCTGGAAATGTCTTGCGCGTGAATAGACAGATGGATTGTAGTGGAGCTAGTACCACATCTCCCTTGTTCAGCGATAACTAGCAGCTAGTGGCGTAGTTGGAAGTTTGTTTTCGGGATCGAACCGGTTCGACGTTTGCATGATGCTAACTGCTACGGACAACACCACAGAGGGACAATGGCCGGCACTCAGCGGCAGTGGCCACAGTACATAGTGCCCGGAAATAATTTGCCCCTCCATCGGCTCGACGCCATAATTAATTAACAAAGAGCCCTCGGGTCATGGTTGAGTTACCGATTTAGCCATCGCCCTGTCCTACCCAATTCCTCACCTGCTCTGGCATCCCATAGATCAAGATGTCTAGAGTATCCGCGCTGATGTTCAACTCCACCTTTCACAGGTTCCTCCGAAGTCCGTTTTCTGTGGTACCGTAAAGTGGGGCTATTTGAGACAGTGGGGCCATTTGAAACGGTGTTTAAAATCGCTATAAAATGATCGTTTGAATTTTGTGTGATATTTTTGCTCAGGGAGGTGTGGAATCGAGCAGTAAATCACCTGAGCAAAAATTAAGCATAAATTTCAAACGGTTTTTATTTTATAACAATTTTAAATACTGTCAAATAGCCCCACTGTCTCAAATAGCCCCACCTTACGGTACTGATTTCCTTGTGTAAAAGCCCGAGTTTCAAACTACTTTGATATAAACTGTAGGAAAGGAATGACAGAATCACAAAGTTTTTTTAGAGGTATGGTTACTTAACTTGACCTGGTGACCTGACCTTACGTGACCTGGGGTCACAATTTCCACACATGATGCGAAATTGATGTGTGATAAGCTATACCAAGTTTCGCGGCGCGGTTTTCTTTACACGCGCAAAAAAAAAAACTGGCAGTTGTGGCCAAAAACCCCACTCGGGCGAAGGTTACATAAAAAGTTATATGCGAGAAGCTTTTGACCGGTTTTAGCAAAATGTTTACATTTTTACTCACCAAAATATACCAATAAATAACACCCCCTTAACATTGACCTAGAGTCAATAGGTCAACAAATTTGCACAGTGAAGAGATTTTCTATGGGCCCACCTACCCTGTTAATCTGGTGTTTCTTAACCTTCCAGGCGGTGCGTGGGGGGGGGGGGGCATTTTTTGCTCCTCCCTTTAGGTTTTACGATATATCTCCAGAACCGCTGCGTCGATCGTCACCAAACTTTCAGTACCCTCCCGTGAATAGCTTTTACACATTGTGACCAATTTTTTCCCAAAGGCTATGGTAGGTTGGCTGCTAATGACGTCGAAGTGACGTCATTTCTGTTATTTTCGACCCAAAAAAGGTTTCGCGGCAAGATCTGTCAGGCCTACAGCTTTAGAGATACAGAACAATATTTTAGACCTAAAAGGTGTAGAATTAACAGGGCTACAAAACTGCTTTCTCGAATTTTTGAAATTTTTGGATTTTAACCCCAAAAATTAAAAAAAAATTGAAATATAATAGCCGAAAAATCCAAAAAGTTTTTGGAATTTCGAAAAAAAAACGGAATATATATGATACTCTTTACCGCATTCCATCCACATACCCAATTTGAGATCAAAACCTCTTTTTTGGCCAAGTTATAGCGAAAAAACTTCAAAATTGATGACGTCAAATTTTCAAATTCAATTTTTAGCAATTCTAGACCTCGTAGCGCAAAACAAAGACCACCATTAGACTGCCCGTGACGAGCTGCATCGAATCAATACCCATTTTATGCAAAACTATCAACTTTGAAATTTGACCTTTTTTACCTGACCTTGACCTAACCTCAACCAGAAAGTGACCTAAACCGTACCTGATGATCTTATAACCATCACCATTGAGTTGGAAATGAAAAATGGGTCATAAAACATGCATCGCACAACCTTAGTAAAGTTGGGTTCATGTGCTGACCCTTGGTGACCTGACCTGTGACCTGACCTGGTATTATCTCAGTGACCTCTAATAGCAACATATGTGCTAGGCATCTGACGCCCTATCGCTGATTTTCAACAAAATGCGTTTTACTCGATGTTATAGCGCATTCCCTAGAAGACCCGTGAACGGTGAAACATTTTATCATTGACCTGACCTGTGACGTCATCGGTGACCCCTAGGTCAATGAAATTTGGTTTTCTTCGACAAATTTGATAGGGCTTTCAAACCCCGTTTGAATTTTGCGGATCCGTCCAGTAGTTTCGGAGAAACGAGGGGGGGGCAAAAAATGCACTCCACCACCGCGCGGGAGGTGGCCGGGAGGCCCACCGCCTGCCGGGTTAAGTGTCATAGAAGCCAATCGCCAGAAGACTGGGGGTCGTACCAACCCCCCTCGCCGTCCGTGCTATGAAAAAGGCCCTTGTCTGGCGAGGGTTAAGAAAAACGTCCGGAGTCACAGCTGGAGTCTGAGTCGCCATAGCAACGTACTAGGGTGACCCGCGTGCTCCGCAACGCGAAAAGGGGTATTTTCGATCGGCGGGTGTTTGGTTGTTCTTGTGTCGGTTGGGTTATCTATCCATTTCGGTCGATTGCTTTTTGACGGCTAAACGTTTTGGTTTGTGGAAAAAATATCCACCGCATCGAGGTGCCCGTGTCTGATAAGCATGCTTTCCACTTCAGAATCTGTCAAATGTGCTTTATAATTCAGGTGCGTAGTTTTAAGACAAATGAAAGGCGTAGATAATTTTCGCTAAAAATCGTTTTGCAGAGGTTTAAAACATTTATATTTTTAAGAACACTGTTGCTTGTCATGCAAACGTGATGATTGGATCTTGGAGAGAATTGAATGCTCTTTCTAATGATAGCATTTTCAATTGTCAAGCGTATCAGGTTAAGCAGCAAATCCCATGTAACTTTTTAGTGGCACATTTTGGACAAATACCATTTTAATTCAGCGATTTTTTCCACATTGTTTTTGATCAATTAGCTTTTCTTAATTTTTCCATGAGAGACGGTACATTTATCTTGCCAACAGGCGTTGTTTGAACTCGCTCCGTCTGACAGTCACCCAAAAATAGCATAAAGTCCAAAATCCGTCCGAAACGTCAATTTTTCAAACAAAAGTGCCCTCACGGATGCACGTGGCGCGTGCCATCCCCTGCACTGCACACCATTCGATAGTCCGTTCGATTCCCTACACGATGCTGTTTTCCCCGTGCTGATCGGGTGCACGGCTACCGAGATATTGCACGGGGAACGGACCCGTGTCGGGCAAATTTAGCCATTTTCGCCCGTTTTTGCCAGCCGATTTATACATGTTAAGTCTATGACGCGAATTTGCACTTTTTGGGCACGCGCCACGCGCTCGCTATCGATCCGATCGAGCCGAGACCGCTCAAAGGCACGTTGTCCATCCTTGTTCTATAACTTGCGCAAATTTCAGCGCGGTAGGTGCAACGGTGTGATCTGTAACCCGCGCTACGTAGCACCATGTCGCGACCTTCGTAATAGACAGAAACTACGCCCTCCTCAAATAGTAATACACCTTTTTGCGTTGTTCGATGGCCAATTGGGAAAACCCATTCGTCCGATCTGCACATAGGTGGCGCCAGTGAGAGGCATTCCGGCAAAACCTTCAGCATATGGGCAAAATGAATCGCTGATCCCACTTCACAGTTCGTCAGTTGGTATAACATTCGCTATTCGCCATAACTGATTGAATTCCGGCAAAACCTTTGACGATTTGGCTAAATGCTTCGTCATTCGTTTAAATCCCTTCGTCATTCACCAAAACACCCCCATGCTAATTTCGACATTCCTCATAACATTTCGTCAAAACTGAAAACAGGTCACCCCTTTACTGAGAAGTATAAATATGACCGCGCTTATACAAGGCAGTGTGAGGCATAGGTGGCGAAACCCGTAGGTCATTTATCCACATAAAACATCGGTAGCTGTTCATGAGCGCCATAGGTTCAATGTACATGGACGCAGCTGACATGTTATGGGCTGATTGAACAGTGAACAGGCAACAGAGCGTTTGATAAGTCAACCCCGCCTCGAACTCCAAGGTGTTGGGCGGTGGGCCGGCCGGCCCCGGCTCGCCATCTGTCAGCCGTTCCCCCCGCGAGTCCGACCAGCGCGGCCGCCCGAGGCGTTGTCCCGGACAGCGCTCGGGCAGTGATGCGATAATGACAGCCGGCTTCGTAGTTTGCATCGAAGCGCTTAGGAGTCTGACGCTCGACCGTCTACATGCCTACTCAATATTGCGCCGGTAGTCTCCTCGTAGTCATCGTATACTGCCTTTTTCGGAATCCAATGGTTGATTATAAGTTAATTGGTCAGAGGCGAATTAATGCAAATTGCGCTGGAACCTGTCGCAAGCCTCATCTATGAATGTGTGATAAAGGTTAAACATTTAATATGGCTATATAAGCAGTACATCATTGACATTTTGATCAATGACGAAGTTTTAAATCAACAGTCATTGCGTACGCACAGTACCGATGAATTTTGCACATCGAGTAACCATTTTGTGAAATGTCGAAGCATTATCACAATCTGACAAAGTGTTTTACCTGTGACGAATATTATGCTCAGTGACAAAGAGTTATGCAGAATGGTTAAATGGAGTCCAGCCTGTTTTGCCGACCGTCAAACAGTGATGCACGTCGCCGATGGGTTATGCTGAATGACGCTTGTTCAAACTGATGCCGAAACGGTTATGACGATTGGCCATCGAACAACGCAAAAAGGTGTATAGACAAGCGGCTGCGCCACTTGCTTTGCTGCGTGGTAGGAAACATCGCGGCACCAGCCAATTTGCTTTCCAATGGTGTTGTGTCATCTAGAAGCATAGATATGGACGGAAATGTGAAGAGCATTTAAAAAAGAACTGTTCTGAGGGCTTCCTTGGATGAAGTTGGGTGATACCAGGTCAAGACGGGTCAT